AATAGAATTTCGACCTGAAATTTTACTCATTGATTATTCAGCAAATACTTAAAGACGAGTCGAAAATTCAATAAAACAATCATAACTTGGCTCTAGTAGCCTATAGGATACGAACCCTATTAGGATTTTTCTAGTTTTACCGTGACTGTATTGTAGATCCAATATGAATTCAAATAACGGATTACAGTTCGAGTAGTTCTCTTATTAGTATAACGAAGAAAATCTTGAAATAAATTTTTGTTTTGGATTTTATTTTCATTCGATAAAAACACCTAATAACAGACAATTGAAATTGTTTTTTCTAGTAGACGATTATTGATTTTGAACAAATATTTTAAACATTAATTATAAAATTCAAAATATATTTTTGTTTTTTTTTTCTTGTGAAAAGATGAAATTATTTTACAAATTTATAATTTTACATGACAAGTTTTCAGAAACTCTGTTTTTAGACTAATTGAAAACCTAATTTTCCATAAAAAAAATTTACTTAATGCATAACTATTTTATTACTTAGATTTACTCTTTTAAATAAAACTTTTTTCTAATAAAAAACCATCTTAAATTCATATCATATATACATTGTTGTTTTATTTTAATATTCCCTTGAGATCTATAATCATCATCATCAATAAATTTATATTTGAAAGCATAAATTTTAATTGATAATATATTTATTGTTATTATTGATTTTAATCAAATAATTAAATTCGTTTTCTTTTCTTTTTAGCGATATCAAGTATGGATGGATTTAGCGTTGGTTCAAAACGACTGAAGGTTGAATTAAAAAAACCACGTCGTAATTCGTAGTATGACAAAAAAACACAAATGTTCAACACAAATGAAAGAACAGTAATAGAAAAGAAAAAAAAAACATCGTGTTATATCTCTGTGGAAAGAAAAATAAAGATCTGTAATATGAGTATAAGTTTTTAACTGTCTATTTCTCGTTTTCATTTCTTTTCGCCATCATTTCAGTTTTGTTTTTGTTTCCTTCGAAAAAAAGAAAAAAAATTTAGGATTCGAACATATATACTTTTCTTTTGGTTCTCTTATGTTGTGTGTGTGTGTGTGTGCGTGTTTCTCAAAGAGACTTGTGTAGAAAAAAAACGCGTAAAAAAAAAGGAGAAGGAATTCCCTGTATGTTTTGTTTATGTGTTCATGGCTCTCGATTTCTGTGTCGACTTTTTTCTTTTTCTTCTTTTTTTTTTTTTTGTGAGTTGCTGCTGTGTTCCAAACTGTGTTTTCTGTTTTTTTTTATGCTGCCACTATTACTGCCGCCGCCGCTGTTTTTCCTTTATTTATTTATTAAGCGATTATGTGTGTGTGTGTGTCAGCTTTTATTATCTGCTGTGTGTTTGCGTGCGTGCGTGCAGTTCACTCATTTTATTTTGTTGTTTTCTGTTTTCTTTTCGTTTATTAAAAAAAAACTCCCTAATTTATTCACAACTTAAAAGAAAAAAACCAACAGTTATATTATCTTTCTTTTTTTTTTTGTGCTTGTGTGCTCATACCTACACGGTTGTTGTGTGTGTGTGGTTTTTTTTCTGTTGATTATCGTTGGGTTTCTGGATGCCTATACTTTATATATCTGTGTGTGTATGTATGTTGTGTATGCTTATCATCGCCATCGAAAAAAAGAAAAGAAAAGAAAAAACTGAACAATAAAGAAAATCTTTTTGTTTTGTAGTGTAAAGTATGGAAAACAACAGAGATAGATTTGTTTTTGTTTCTTTTGACGGCGTGATTATTTATCTGTATGTGTACGTGTGTGTATTTTTTTTCTTCTTGTGTATCTCTGTACACATTATTTTCAGTTTTGAAAAACAACATACACCAATGATATATAAATATGATGATTTTTTCTTTTTTGTTTTCAATGGTTAAATAAGTGATTTATTTATTTATATCATGTAGAATGATTAAAATATTTTAGTTACACACAAACGAGATTAGGTAGATGAGATGATGTGTTCATTTTTGTTTGATTTAATATTCTTCAGCTTCACCAACATCGTCAGTTACAGTATCAATACCAACTTCTTCATAATCTTTTTCAAGAGCAGCTAAATCTTCTCGAGCTTCAGCAAATTCACCTTCTTCCATACCTTCACCAACATACCAATGAACAAATGCTCGTTTAGCATACATTAAATCAAATTTATGATCAAGACGTGCCCATGCTTCGGCAATAGCTGTTGTATTTGATATCATACAAACAGCTCGAGGAACTTTTGCTACATCTCCACCTAGACAAAACAAAAGCGAAAAAGAATGATTTATATATATAGACATAGAAAATAAATTGAGAAAAAGAAAGACCTGGTACAGCAACAGGTGGTTGATAATTAATTCCAACTTTGAACCCTGTTGGACACCAATCAACAAATTGTATAGATCGTCTTGTTTTTATAGCTGATATAGCAGTATTAACATCTTTTGGTACAACATCACCACGATATAATAAACAACAAGCCATATATTTTCCATTACGTGGATCACATTTAACCATTTGATTGACTGGTTCAAAACAAGCATTTGTTATATCTTGAACACTAAATGCTTCATGAGCAGCTTTTTCAGCTAAGTTAAAAGAAAAAGAAAAAGCATTTTCATTTCAATCAATATCTTTTAAAAACTAGACCAACCACTACAAATTGGTGCATAAGTAACAAGTGGAAAATGTATACGTGGATAAGGAACAAGATTTGTTTGAAATTCAGTTAAATCAACATTTAATGCACCATCAAAACGAAGTGATGCTGTTATTGATGAAACAATTTGTGCAATTAAACGATTTAAATTTTGATAACTTGGACGTTCAATATTTAAATTACGACGACATATATCATAAATAGCCTCTAGAAAATTAAAATTAATTTTCTTTTAGCAAAACAAAAAAAAATTTTCCACAAACCATTATCAACCATAAAAGCACAATCAGTATGTTCTAATGTACAATGAGTTGTTAATATTGAATTATATGGTTCAACAACAGCAGTTGAAACCTATACATCTACATATTAAGATTTAAATAAATCATATAGGTTTATTAACCTGAGGAGCTGGATAAATAGCAAATTCAAGCTTAGATTTTTTACCATAATCCACACTAAGACGTTCCATTAATAATGATGTAAAACCTGAACCTGTACCTCCTATTATAATAGAAAATAATATGTTTTGTTTTTTTTTGGTTTGTTTATTTATTTATAAATTTTTATTTTATATTACTAACCACCAAAACTATGAAATACTAAAAATCCTTGTAAACCTGTACATTGATCAGCTATTTTACGTAATTTTTCAAGTACAGTATCAACTATTTCTTTGCCAATTGTATAATGACCACGAGCATAATTATTTGCTGCATCTTCTTTACCTGAAATAAGTTGTTCTGGATGAAATAATTTAGCATATGGTCCACGACGAATTTCATCTTGAATAAAAATAAAACAAATTTTTCTATTTTATAGAATTTTTAAATAAATTAAAATTTAATATTTACCAATTACTGTTGGTTCGAGATCAATAAAAACAGCTCGTGGTACATATCGTCCTGTTCCTAAAAATAAATATCATGGATCGTACAATTTTTAATTATGAAAAAACAAACACACTTTCTAACCTGTTTCACTAAAAAATGTACTAAATGATGTTTCTTTAGAATCTATACCATAAAATTTCCATTAAACTATCATTAAAAAATATACGAATATAGATTTATACTAACCAGAAATTGATTCTATTAAATACAAAAAAACAAATACGAAATATGAATATATGATTATTTCATTAGTATCTTACTAATAATATGACTACTATCTCGTTCTTTGCTAAATGTTCCATCAGGTTCAATACCATGTTCAAGACAATAGAGTTCCCAACAAGCATTACCGATTTGAACACCTATTATATGTATTTTATTCACAATTGTATAGAAAAAAAAATAAACAAAAGAAAATAATTATTACCAGCTTGGCCAACATGAATACTAATACATTCTCGCTAGATACAACCAAAGAAAAAAACAGATATTCGAACATCAGTTTTCTAATTAATATATATATGTATATACACACCATTTTAATGATGATCCTGAATAATCAAGTGGAAGAAACAACAACGGATGAGAGTACAAACAAAAAAAAAAAGGAATAGTCTTTGCGACCGATTGCCTACACCAAATGATAGATAATACAACTGCTCTCTTTGCAATCGTCGTCTTTGCTTGATGTACATTTTTCTTCTTTTTCTTTCTTGGCACCCACATTTTTTCTTTCTGCTTGCCTACTGAGTTTGTGTGTGTGTGTGTGTGTGTGTTTGGTTGCTTGTGCATGATAGAAAGATACATGATGGTACATAATTATTATCTGGTCGACGTTCTCATCTTTTTTTCCGTCTATATCTTTTTTTTGTGTATCCTATCCTCATCCAATCCCAATGTCGACTGATTCAGTGTGTTGTTCGATGAGAAAGACAAAACTATAGAAAGAGAGACAGAGACATAAAAAACATGTTATCATAATATTATATCCTATGATCGTCATCAAGGCTAACTAAATCATCACATCTCCATTTGTTAAATTTTCCAAACACAAAGAATTCAACAGACCATAAAGAGGACGTTGTTTGTTTAAAAAAAAACACGCACACAAATACATACATACGATAGATATACACATAAAAAAAAAAGAAGAGAACCAAATAAAGTGACAGTGAATATAACAAACAACACTCAAAAAAAAAAAAAAAAGAACAAATGAACCAAGCGCACATTCAAAAAAGAGAAAGAGACAACATAAATGAATGAAAAATATGATCAGATCTATTTAGTTAAACACATCTAATAACAATCGATTAATTCAATAGATATATCTTTTTTTTTTCTAAAATAAAAGTGCCTTTTTTTTTCTTTAACATATATATGTATATAATATTCGTTTCTTTTTTTCTTTTATTGTTTTTTTACTCTTCTTCTATGTACAATAAACATAAACTTAAAATTCGCGATCTTCCAAAAATTTATATTCAAATATAAAATTGTCTCGTTTACGTGTTTGCCATCGTTCATAATCAAAAAATATATATGTACCCTAAAACAAAGAAAAAAAACCATCAAAATATAATAATTATGCAAAAAAAAAAATTCATTTTACCTGTTCATAATCATCTGTTATTGTTTTTGGTTCTTCATGTCGTTGAAACCACATCATATGTTTTGTATGAAAACGCCATGATTGTCGTTTTAATGCTTTAGCAGCTAAATATTGTGCACGACTTCCCTTTAAAAAAAAGAAAACAATAAAATTTAAATTAAATATTTCTTTTCTTACTTCCATATAATAAAAAACAAAGAATAATGTATCCGGTGCTAAACGATAATAAAATTCTGGTGTATCACAACCTGTTGGTGGTGTTTGAGGATAATATGAAATCATTTGTGAATGTCCAAGTGGATTTCGTCCAAAAATACGATTTGCATTTGTTCTTTAATAAATAAATAAAAATTTTTTTTTATAAAATAAAACAAAATAAAGAACCTTTGTCGTTCAGATTCTAATAATGATGGTAGTTTCGCGTAAGCTGAATTTAATCTATTAAGCATTCGCATCTCTGCTGGTGTTAATGGAACACGATTTGTTTGAATAGATTGTTGATTTGATGGTGATAATAAATATCGAAATGTATGATGATCTGGTAGATGACCAATAACATTATTATTTGTTGATGATAAATCATTTGGATTATTAGTATTTGTTAAAAATGACGATGTTGTCGTTGTTGTTGCTGATGTTGTTGTTGAAAGATTTGGAAAATTATTTGTATCAAGTAATGAATGTCCATCTGACGAACCGTTAGTCATTAATGATGTTGATGGTAGATTTATTGAACGTTCGTTATCGGATATTGTACGAGAAAGTAATGAAGATTGTTGAGAATTAATTGTTGAATCAATATTAGGTGTTGATAATAATTCAAGAGGAATGTTTGAATTTGATAATGTTGGTCCTGAACCAGTATATAATGATGATGGAATTATTGTACCATTAGCTAATGTTACTGTTGATGATGATGATGATGATGATGATGATGTTGTTGAAGATGATGTATTTATTTGAGATATATTACTAAGAATATGTTGATTTAATAGACCTGTAAAAAACAAAACAAAACAAAACAAAACAATAGAAGAGAAAATCTTTTTGTTTTTGTAGTAATCCAACGGAAGATATTCTAGTAAAGTTTTTTTTCTCGCTCTCTCTCTCTCTCTTTTAATTCTACTCTAGTTGAAAGATTCTAAAAGTGATAAATAGCATAAGTTTTTTTTTGTTTTTATATTTTGAGCTATTGTTTGAAAATTGTCTGCCAAGTTTTAAAAGGCAACTTTTCTTAGTGTTACATCCTGCCAGTTTGATTGCTTCTAAATATCTGTGTCGCAGTATAGAAAATAAAATCAGCAAAAAAACAAAATTTTCTTAGTATTATAGAAAAATAACTATCAAGCTATTCAAGAACAAGAAACATTAGATATGAATATAAATACGAATGTTTAATGAACTTTTCTAATTGAACATAAAGTTTTACATATAAATAAGTAAAAATTTTCCATAATTCTCTATAATTTTTTCTCATTGTGGAACTTTTGTTTACTGCGGTTTTTGCTATTTAATAATGACTTTAGTTTTCATTTTTTTTATAAGATTTTGATAAAATTCCAAATGTGAATGTCAACATTGAATTACCATTTACCAACAAGATCATCTACGAATTCATTTTTTACATACCACTCTCATCCTCTTACGATGTTTTGTGTGGTTGAATTACATGTCTGCAAATTGAGGTTTGTGGAAAGTGAAATAGAAACCACACTTTCATCAAATATGCGACCACTAATTGTTTTTTCCCAAATTTTTAGTCCCTTTCATTTCGAAAACTATCGAGAATTCTGCATATCTCTAATTTATAGAGCTTACAAGATCATTGATGATTTAATTTAGTTAAATGAAGAATATTTGAACTATGAAAATTCATTAAATTATACCGGTACGATCATTATTTGTTAATAATGAAGGTGGATGAGAACTATTTGATATTGAATTTGTTATTGTTGTTGTTGTTGATGATGATGATGATGATGGTATTGATTGACTTGAACTTGTGATAACTGTTGAATCATTATTATTAATTGATGTTTGTCTTGACATTTGTTTTGTTTGTGGTGAAAATATATTTTGTTGTTTAGATATCGAATTATTACTTGTTATTGGTGTTGATGGTATTGTATTTTGTGAAACAATTGTTGAATATTGTAAAACAGGTTGTGTTGTTGTTGTTGTTGCTGGTGGTGTTGTTGGATAAGTAAAATGTGTTGGTGCACTTGCAGATAATACAGATGCTGATGATAATGGTGTTTTTGTTGATGATGATTGTTGATGTATAAGAGGATTTTTTGGTGAAGATCCATAAGTAATATTTGTTGTTGAACCATTGGCACCTGAATTTGTTCTAGATAATTTTCAAAAAAATAATATTATTAATAAAACAAAAAAAAAACATAATAATAATGTTTATTGAATACCGATTTCGTTGTGATTGATTATCTTCCGAATCGGATTTATTTCGTTTTCGATCATCAATTGCTGATAAAGCCGGACTAGCAGTTGGTGAACTTGGTTGTGTTGATGATGGTGTTGTTAAACTCATTGTTGATTCATTATCACCATGATTTGAATTTGTAAAAAATGCTGCTGTACGTTCAGATCTAAATGACAACAAATAAAACAAGATTTAAAATATTTCATTTAATTCTTACATATTATTTGTTGATGAATGTGAATGTATGTTTAATGTTGGTGCACTTATATCAGCTAATGTTGTTGTATTTGAATTTAAACTATTACTATTACCATTTGATAATGATAGAGGATGAGATTGTGTTGTTGGTACAGCTATAACTGGTGCCAATATTGTTGTTAAATTATCCATATCAATTTCTTCATACATTAATTCATTTTCTTTAAAATCTGATTCTTGATTTGATTCTATATAATATTCAATATCGGCACGTAAATTATGTATTGGTTTAAGATCAAGTGCATCATTATCAATAGCACGTAGAATTTTTTCAAGTGATTCAATATGAAATTTATGTCTTTCAATTGAATGTTTTGTTTCTTCAAGACGTTCTAATTTCTGGATATAACAAAAAAAAAATTTGTATTAAATATTAATTTTTAATTTTCATAGAAAATAATGAATGTAGGATGACCTTTTCGATTCAAGAAAACTACGAACCAATCTCATCTGTCTATTGTGAAATTTTATTAGATATTTTGTAATTTTTATACGAAACATATGAAGTTGTTTATAACTTCGCGTAATCTTCGTTTTTGTTTTCTTTGTTATTTGTGAGTATAATGAAATTTTGAATTAACTTACTTCTTTGTCAGATTTTTTCTTCTTTAATGATGCAGATACTGTTTCAATGTCAGCTTCAAATTTATCAATTTGAATATTCAATTCATGTATGGCTTCCTGAGAAACAAAAAAAAAGTTTGTTTATTTTTTTATTTATTTATTTATTTATTAAAAAAAAAAGAGAATTATAATTCTAATCTACCGTTATCCATTGTGTACATTCTTCTTTTTCTTTTTCTTGTGGATCAAGTTTTTGTCCTGCACCTAAACCTTCTTTACTATAAGCTTTTGTTTTTGTTTCTCGTTCAACAATTTTAAATTTTTCCATTTTCTAAAAATAAAAAATGAAGAATAATATGTAATGATTTGATTTTCTTTTTAACAAACTTGTTCGATATTTTTTCTTGCTTCTTGTAATTGTTTTTTGTCTTTGATTTCTGTTGATGACATCCATACTTTAATTTGATCACGTAAACGTTGTAATTTTTTTATTTCTTTTTTTAATTCTTGTTCATATCTATCTTTTTGATTATGATTTGGTGCTGAATGAACCTAGATTAATTTAACAATAAGAATATGAAATAAGAATTTTTCTTTTTTTTTTTATCTTTTGTCTACCTTTTGCCAAATATCATCAAATGTATCCACACCTTCCGTTACTTTTTTAAGGCAACGTTCAATTTCTCCTGCAAACAATAAAAATAAAAATTTCCTAATTATAATATAAATATTCCATTAAGAAAATTTCTACCGTGTAATTTTCTCCTATCGCCCATTGTAAATTATTGAATTTATTTTGTATAGTAATAAAAAATGAAACATAGAACAAGATCAACAAAAAAAAACACGTGTCTCTTGAAATTCGCTAGACAGTTAATTTCAAAAAAATTTATTTTTTATCTATAAAAAAACAAAGAAAAACAACAATTTTTTTCTTTTAATTTGTTTTTTTTTACCACAATAGACATTCCTGAAAAATCAATGAAATAAATAAACAAAATAAAAAAAAAACATAAATGCTTATGCAGAATCGTCGCGCCCGGTTGGACGACCGACAAACCGATCGGCCTGATGACTTCATGATTCATTCAAGGAAAAAAAACATACTATTTATCAAATCAAAAATTAATAAAACAGAGGTCGTAAGTAAATGTAAAACTCAACAAAAAAAAACGAATTATTATTTACACATTTAAAACAGACATATAATACACACACACATATATATATATCTATATAATATTGATATTAACTTTTTTTCTTTTTAATATGACCTTAACTTTAGAATGTCATGGTTACCGCAAGCACTATTTAATCAAATATATATATATATATATATATATATATATATAGATATAACTAAAGAAAAAATAGACGACATATGGTATACGTTATTTATAGAATAAATAGAAAGAACAAAGTAGATAAAAGGAAGAATACATTCTGCCTTTCAACTTCCTTGCGAGATAAAGTGCTGTCTAGAAGCAGATTGATTCCCTCGATATTTTCTCTACAATTAATGCTAGTTGTAGTTCTGGAAAAAAAGAATGGTTTGATGCAGAGTTCTTACACGAACTAGCAACGAGGTATATGTCATAACATAGTGTCAGCATGTTATCAGATGGATGATACGAGACAAACAGCTGTTAGTGACTTAAGAACAAAGGAGTTCTTTTTCATGATAATTTGTAATATATAGTAAAATTTTTCTTAGATGAATACCGTTGGGACTTTTAAAAACTATTTATCTATGAAAGCTGTCATATAGAGGACTGGACGATATCCTTCAAAATCGAGAAATTGTTTCCCTTATAGCAGAAACCCTTTATCCTACACAAAATCAAGGAGAAACGCTTTTCATAGCAAAACAGAATCCATCACTAAATGTTTTCGATTAGAAATACATCAACCATATCTACCCTCATAATGAGAAATGTATAAGATATACGAAGAAATTGAATAGATTATTCTTACAGTATAAGTAGAAATGGATTTTCTCCCGGGGAAATGTAAATATTTCTAGCAGAAATTCTTCATCCATTTTAACGTTAATAATCAGAAGTGAAAAATGAGAAATGAGGCGTGGAGTAGAGATTGGCAGATATATACTTGTGTTCTTTCATTCTGTTTCTTCTTGTTGAAGTATTTCTTTATGGTAAATTAAACGTGATAAATATATGTTTATATTCTTTTTTTCCAATATTCCTTGATACATTGTAATCATTATTTTGATTAACGTAGTGTCATTATAAACAATTTTTAATCATAAAAAAATCGTAAAAAATCAGTTTTTTTTACATTGGATCTAATTTACTTGTAAATCCATCTTGAGAACATCTTCATTAGTGTTGAGAACAAGTTAATTCTATATAATCGATATATCTAGATAAGATGAATTCGCCATAATTTTGTGATATATGACGGTTTGTTGTAAAAAAAAATAAAAGTCTTTTAGATTGCAAGTACAGGTTGAAAAGGAATTATAAAAAAAGATAATGAGTCTTGTTCCCAATTCACATGGTATCCACGAACATGCATAACAAGTGGCCACACACGAACTCATGTGTGTGATAATTTTTTTTGCATTTTCGTGGCCAACAAGGGATTTAAGAATAAGGTTCATTGATAGAAGTGATGATAGAGTTAAAACCCTTTTTATTTAATGAATCTATGATTAACAAAATAGCAATATCTTCTAAATTCAAATTCTATTACATGAACTGTACTGGTTGAGAAATCAAGATCTTTGATCAGTTCATTTTCATTCGATGTTGTGATATAACGAAAATACTCAGTTGCTACTTATTATAGATTTTGACTGCTTTGAATATCATATATAATCATAAATGGACTCTTTGTACAACGATTACTAATGAAGTATCAATACCTTTTATAATTTCTTTCACACATCATTCACGTATACATTCAAATTTCACTGATAATTTGATACCCAATCTTTTTTAATTTGATCAACACTATGTAGAAGAAATTTAGGAGTAAAATTGGATTAAAAGCCGATTAAAAACTGATTAATATTATACATCTTTTAATTGATTTCTGGGTACAACTGTACAAGAACGACACCGCGGCACCCACATTCTTTGATGTGCTCTATCAATTAGATCATTTAATGTAGAGAGTATCGTTCTTCTGCAGTTATATCGTGGCATATAACCACCTGCTCGTAATATTATTGCATCATCATCGTCTATTCAATGTAGTTTATCTACCATAATGAATAATGAACAATCCGAATTCGAATTTGTAATTGATTTTTGATAATGCTCTAATTAATATGAGTACATCAACTGTTAACAAAAAAGAACTTGTTATTGCTGGTCAAACAAATGTTTATTATAAATTTTTAAATTTAAAACAAGTCTTAATAAAACTGTTGTATCAAATACATCATCGACAAATGAAATTGTTAATTGATTGGATGTTGAAGCAAAACGTACACTTATTCTTGAAACTGAAGAATCTAATCAAACTTAGAATCAACGAAATAAAAATGAAACTATTCGTGTACATACAATTGAAAAAGGTTCTATCAGCTCATTTATGAATAATTTCAATAGTGATGAAAATATAATTGAAGAAAAAGAAATTAAAAATACTGATTATGAACAAGTACCTATTGAAAAATGTGGTATGGCTGTTCTACATGGTATGGGTTATAAAGATGATGCTAGTCGTGGCATATCAAATAAAAACCAAGTTGATGGATTTGTACCGAAAATTCGACCACATGGTCTTGAATTGGATGCTGATAGAAAAATTCTTCAAAAAAATGAATTAATTAAACTGAAATTTTAAGAATTCTCGCATCGATAAAAAAGATGGTCTATATTTTGAAAATTAGCTTTTGTTCTTATGGAAAAAGATCGTCATTCTGATTTATACAGTACGATTGAATCAATTGTTTCATTATCTACTGGTATTAGAAATAAGAAAAAAGAAACAATATATATGTCACAATTTAATTTTAAATTGTTAACTGAAAAAGAATTTCTTAAATATAGTAAATATGTTAATAAGGTTAAAGAACAAACAAGTCGATAAAGACACGAGTGATCAATTAATGAAAGATTATTAACAAAACGATAATAAGGATTAAAAATGGCATTGTTCATCAGACAAATTTATCTGTTTTTTTTCTGCTTGTAGATGTTTTCTCAATTGAAAGATTTTAATTGGTACATTGATATGTAATTAGTGCTAAATGCCAATGACCAATGTATTCAAACACCATCGTATGTTCTTTGTTTTAATATGTGTATCCTGAAAGAAAAGATTTTGGTGTCAGTAAATTTTTCCTCTTTCGAATGAAATGTCTATTGATTTGATTAACTATGAAGAATTATACGAAATCACTTGATTAAAAAATACTCCTTATTTTTATTCAAATTACTTTACCAGGAAATATTATTTTGATAAGAGGTTAGTTTCACATTGATTTTGATGGCCTTTGAATGAATTAAGAAGATTTATTCTTACACACATTCGTTCTCATACCATGATCATTTTATAAAATTTTACGACACGAAAATTTCGTTCATTAACATCTCTAATGATCATTGAATGACTCTAAAACTTTTAATTTTTCTGTGATATGTTTTCGAACAAAAACAAACTTTTTTTTATCGATTTTGATCGTGCTAATTAGATAGGAAGTGATTAGAAAACAGCTTTCTGACTTTCACCTGAAATGGTAGAAGTTTAGAGCTTTTCAGTTCGTAAATGTTCTGAAGTAGAAGGCATCTAAATTAGTATCATCTTTCAAAGATTCATGTTTTTATTTAGCTTTGTCTGAGTTATGACTACTTCAAAACACATGAGTTTTCCATGTTTTAAGAATGTTATAAAACTACTGTGCTCTGAAATGATCATATCTAGGGTCAAATCTAAGTTAAAAGAAGAATTGTTGGAACATTCTACTGGTTTAGATGTTTTCTACTCATAGACGAAATAGAGAGGCAACAGTTCGAAATTATTGATGCTTTATTGATTAGACGACCCAAGAAACAGATTCAAATATCCGCTATTTCACGTGAAATTCGATAGAAGAAACTTTTTACAAAAAAAAAAAGTAGTCGAACGTTTATGACTTTACCCTAAAATGTTTTATTAGGGCTTCCTTCTCTCAAAAAACGATCTCAGCCCAGAAATGTTCAAATGAGATGAAATTTTCAACTCGATATCATGACGTTTGAGGAAGATATTGGTCAAACAAAAGTCAAAAATAGCGAATTTAGCAACCCAAATTTCTCAGTTCAGGTAATTTTGTTTGTTTGAAAGAACATGGCAGGATGCAGAGCACCACAGAATCCTTTTGTTAAATTCTTACTTTTTAAGTGGAAAGAAGGAATCACAAGTTCAGTGACTTAAAAAACCCTAAAACATGGCACTGTTCCTATAGAGGTGTTTTCTAATATTATAATAAAAGAGCTTATTACAAAAAGGACTCTGTGGTGTCCTGCATCTTAATGTACTCTTTCCAACAAAAAAGATTTAAATACATCACATGAACGTGAGCTAAGACATTGAGTTGCGTGTTCGACATATCATGAACTGATAAAAAACGAAAAAGATTTTCAGTTTTTTCCAAAAACAGCTTATTTTTCGAATTGGGGATGGGTGTGGATGTGGGCTAGGAGTAGTCAAAACCAACATTCACCCACACTCTATTTTTTGACGATTTTTAACGGTAAAAATAGATTCATTATATTTGTTTTAGCCCATATTTTTAAGAGCACAGTCATATGTTCTAATATTTTGAATTTGACAAGATCCTTCATTGGTGATAAGTAAATCCGAAAAACTATTTTTCCCTCTTGTATTCTGAACTGGTTCTATAGTGAACATTCTTCTAAGTGAAAAATTTTCGTCTCTTTATGAATTAGTTAAAGTTTCGAAGCTTTTTTCGAACATTTAGAAATATCGGTCTGTTAAATATATTTTCTATGGGAAAAATTTTTTCTAAACAAGCCAATCGTGCGTTTTTTATTCTATAAAACCTGTCCACATGTAATTAAGAAGATTTGCTGAATGATTACATTTTTCGAAATATAAAATAGCAATATTCATATGTTGACGTAGGTGAAGTTAGCGTCCGATTCGAGTAATTCTGCCGCCGATTCGTTCAGGAACATGTTCCAAGTGTTTCATTTGTGTTCCAAATAGGGGTGGGACTTTACCTTTACTTTACTAGCAACTACATATTTACTTAGTTACTAGTAAAAAGATTTTTGATTTGTTTTTCGACATCTATAGCAAAATATACCCAGGCCCAGCATTACGATGACCGTGAGCGGGTCGTAAACGACCGTTAATGATAAGGATACGGCCGTAAACTGCCCGCATTTGACCCGTTTGGTATGCACCGTAATACGACCGTATATCACCGTGCCGTATACGATTAGAAACGGTGAAAAACGGTTGGAAAATCCCGTATTCGATCGTTTACGACACGGCGATATACGGCCGTAATACGGCGCATACCAAACGGGTCAAATACGATCAAAAACGGCCATTTACTACCGGGCTTGTTTCACCTGAGTATGTATTTGATGAGCAATTTATTTTCTATATTAATTGATCAATTAATGACTGATGCTAAGCACTTCATCAAGATGTTCATGAATCAATTTATAATATAAATTATAATTATGGTGGTGCTGTCTTTCTCTGACATGTTGCTGGATCGAAATCAGGGTTGCCATACGTACGGAGAGGGGATAGTAAAATTAGCCCATGTGTTATTTGAATACTTATTGTGTTTACTCGATTGTTTGAAAAAGTATTATTTAAAAATATAATTTTATGAAATGTATTTTGAATATATAAACATTCGCCGTGTTTGTAACTTGCTGGTCACATGTTTGACTACGATAACGTACATGACTTGTTAATATCTATTGAATCAAAGTTCTTAAAAATGAGATGCATCAATGTCTATTTGATCCAGATGTAGCAGCTGCTTCAGACTATTAGCGTCCTTCTTGTTTGAAATGGCGAGTAGAAGGTGACGCCATCTCTACGTATGTCCTATTCTCCGGAATACAAACCAATAGAAGAGTCGCTAATGGCAGAACCAGGACATAATCTTCTCTCTTTTTCTACTAAGCGCAGTGGAATGTCCTTCTACTATATTGATACTATTTGTTCTTGATTACAAGACTCCCGTATTGGAAGCACCACTTTCTACTGCCTATCCAAAGCAAGAGAATCGCTAGTAGTCTCTCGACGCTGTTATCCAGGTGTCTAAAACCAAGACGCATCTTACGACTAACTCGCGTCCAAACTAGACTATAGACGGATGCACTGTCTTGTAAGTCGCTTGGCATTTTTTAGAGTGTACCGTCACTAGGGGCCGCTATGTTGCAATTTTCATTCTCTATACAGACAATTTTAGTGTTACAATTTTCTGATTGGTTGATTTTTTGACCAATGGAATTTTTTTCTCTCATCGTGATAATTCGTCGTGTTGTGTTGAGCTAGCTTCACATCGATAAACTATTAGATGTTTTTTTGGTTGCTGTACAAAACTGCTTAAGCAGTAAAGACTTTTTAGAGCGATCAAATGGGATTTAGAATAGATTTATAATATTCTGAGTTAAAAAACAGAAAAAACGAGATTTAATCGCTTTCTCGAACTAGTGTCGCAGTATGAATAATCAAGAGCAAAAATGTACTTGCTGCATTATAAGACGAAGTTGAACAGTACGTACAATTGCATTCGCATGATGAAATGGGTCGAAATTTGGCGGTTGATGATTCATCGCATTCTCGATCAATAGTGACATTATTCAAAATGTAATGATATATATTGTAGGAACTCACTGATGGAAGATCAATTAGTCTCTCATCCAGCCAGCAGTTCACAGCAATCGTCTTAGCACATGCTCGCCCAAAGAGGATGCGTGTGTGGGTCTTTTCTTCATCCACACCTATACCGTTCGATGTTTGCTTCTATATTATAAAATAGGGTGGGGTGTGGGGTGTGGGTGGGTGTGGGTGTGGGTGGGTGTGGGTGTGGCTGGGTGTAGGTGTATATCTTCATCCACACTCACACCCACGCTGCACCCACATGCACAGCCACAGGCACACCCATCCACACCCACACCGACACCCACACCAGACACTACATCGACACGTACACCCACACCCGACACTACATCGACACGTACACCCACACCCGACACTACATCGACACCTACACCCACAGGCACACCCATACCCCCAGGCACACCCGACACCCACACCCTCTTTTTTTTCTACATTGTCTTCGACGAAGAATATCCTAAATGAACATATTTACTTTCTCTTTTTCACATTACGTATATATATATTTCGTTTTTGTTCTGTAATATTGAACAACTCGGTGTTCTGGTATTACAGTTTTTATTCTCTCCTTTTCATATTTGGTGCCATGAGAAGCACATGCACCAAGACTCTCTATTCAATAGAAAAATAATTCCATGATGGCCAATTCAATTAAATACAATACCACTGAAAGAAATCCGAAAGTACTAACAGAAATGCTTCATATTCGTCTAGAAAGTTTGAGAAAATTTTCTCTTTATGCATAGTGATAGTAAAAATGAATGATGCTCTATTTTTCTGTGATATTTCATCATTGTTTAATTAATATCATGATAATAAATTTTCAGTAGGAGCTGTTGCTTAAGATAGGTGACGACTAAATTGGGTCGTTTGCTCTTCTATTTGTGGATATCGGTATGCTGTTCTCTCACTTGCCAGTACAGTGCATAACAATTTACAGAATAGAAATAAAATTTCATTTGTGCTTACTC